GGGTCAAGGTAAGGGTCAGAAATGTGTGTAATGTGCTCCGGGGTGGGTTGTAGGTGCATGGGCCCGTATCCAGAAATAACTAAATGGATCTCACTGACCAGGGGTCTAGGTGGGCTTCAGACTCCTATGTTTATTACCTGGCTACATGCCTGATCAGTAATGAAAAAATCTGTGGCGGTTCAAACCCCAAACCCATAATTTCCCTATGTGGCTACGTGACAGGAAGTGCAGCAGAGGCCGTCCTGCTCCCCCCAGGCCCCCTGCACAGCCCTAGCCTGATGTGTAAACAAGAAGGCAGCCCCCACCCCCCCCATCTCTCGTTTGTGGTTTGGCCTAGGTTTAGGGGTACCGCTGTGGTCCTTGCGTGCGACTGGCTGTCTTGCTCCAGATCGTGGGCCCGGAAATCGGGGGCCCATCTCATCCCCATATGGCGCCTCAGTGGTCGAATCCTCAACCTGAACCTGCAGACCACTTAGAGTCAAGAAGGCTCACAGCTATTGGGTTTCCTGTGGCGGGACGAGTGAACACATGGTAGCGGTTAGCGCCACTTGGCTGTGTCTCCTCAAGGAAAGAGCAGCATGATAGCAAGGGGGGGCGGGGTCCTCTTTCTACCACCAGCACCTGCGGCAGGAGCTGGAAGCCAAGTTCTACGAGGACCAGTTCGACTGGGAGCAGGTGCGACACAACGACGCGGCCGGCCTGCTGAAGATGTTCATCCGGGAGCTGCCCTCTCCCCTCCTCACTCAGCAGCATCTCCCGGCTTTCCTGGCTGTGCAGAGTGAGTCCCGTCTCACAAAGCAGAATCTGGCATTCCTCTCCCTCTCATGGAAGATACCGGTGACCCTCGCCTGCATCGCTGACCACTCTCACAGTGCATAACACACAAAGCTGCCTGTATTTCAGCCAGTCCTTCCAGGACATCACCACCCTGCTCACAAACTCTTTTCCCACATTAGTGGTACATTTCCATCCTTTCTAGCTCCGTCCCTGATGCTGAAATTAATATACAGAATTTATGTGTCAGTGTTCACATACTTATTTAGCTGATGTAGTATTTATTTAGGGCTTTGTGTTTGGAATCTTCACTGCCTCGTTGCAGATCACTAATTCTGATGATTATACGTGAAAAGATTCTGGTATTGTAGTTTAACTGGCTTCTAAATACTGTAAATTTGTAAGATGTTGTTCTTATTCACACACTGACACCTTGTGGTGTCTTTAAGTACTGCAGCTGTTCCTGAGATTAAGTAAGGCTGCTGTTTTCCTAGGAGCCCATCGAACTTATCCTTGCTGTTGTGAAGATCAAAAGTTCGAAATGCTGCTACTTTCTCCAGAGTCTCAACTCTTATGGCTGAAACTCCCCAGAATTTGGGACCTGCGTGTGCATGTGGAAGTGATTCTGCTTTCGATGATCGATGTTGATCTGCTTGCCAGATATCGCCACGTACAGAAATCAGATCCAAGCTTTGCATCTCCTTATCATGCTGCTGCCTGAAGCCAACAGAGACACACTGAAGGTATGAAACCTTCAATCATCATCACCTCACATCAGGCTGAGGCACACAGCATATCTCTAATACCATGTCAGCAAACGTAAAGACTGCTTGGTGATCATGATGAGAAGGTCTGTGGAAAATCACTGGTGGAGGGGATCCTAGTGATTTATGTCCTTTAATGATGGCCAAAATGATGCCTCATGAACCATTTGTGGTCCTTCTTGACCTCACTGAATGGTGCTTTAGGTTTCCTTTTTGGCATGCTTTTAGCCCTAACTAAACTGAGAGCACCACCTAGTGGGGTCAAAAAGTACAGCACGTGGTTCATGAAGCGCCGTTTTGGCCGTCACTAATGTCCTCCTTTATGGTCTCCAAGGCTCTGCTGGAGTTCCTCAGGAAGGTGGTGGCCCATGAGGAGGAGAACCGCATGAGCCTGTGGAACGTCTCCATGATCGTTGCGCCCAACCTCTTCATCAGCCGGAGCAAGAACGCAAAGCTGGAGGAGATGCAGGGCGCAGCGGGGGCGGCCCACCTGGTGCGGCTCCTGATCACCAGCCAGGACTTCTTATGGACGGTGAGTGGGGAACAGGCCCATCTTCGCGTGACCGATGGCCGCGGTGCTGACTCCCCATGCCTGCTCTCCCCAGGTCCCCTGCTTCCTTATCTCCCACCTTAGGAAGCTGAATGAGGCCTCAGTAGGGAAGAAGATGTTGGGGTCAGAGAAGAGCAAGAGGAAGCTGCTGAGGAGGTGGCATATCGATCGCAATAAGGGAGAGAAAACAGAGGTATGCTGCGGGTCTGATGTTGTTACAAGCGCCATCTAATGGACAGGAGACCAAAGAGTCTGACTTCAGTGAAAAACTTTTAATTATCCCGAGTAACTGCAAAACTGATTGCAGTTCTGATTAATTAACATGCAGGTTACTTCAGCTTCATGCTAATGATTTGCTTAAGCCCATGATTTAAATTCATTTTCGATGTGACCACAGTCAGTTTCTGTCTACAGAAAAACACGTAGCATTCCGTAATTGTGCCCTGGTGCTCATTAACCAGGTTTCGTTAAGCTTCATTTGCATCCTAATTAATTTCAAGTGATTTGGTGATTAAGGAAGGAGGGGGTACCTGCCTGCTAGACGTGGGTGCACTTAACAGCCTCTCACAGGGGTGACTGCCATGCCATAATTATAGTTCCCATAGGGCAGATGCAAATGGAGCTGGATAGAAGGTCACGTGACCTGGGCTCTGGGCCGAACAGGGGTGATGCGTGTGTCTTACACAGCTGGTTGGCCTCTTGGGAGAAGGCCTCATCCGTGTGCACGCGCCCCTACACGCAAAGGTGTCCATGGCCCTGCTGCTGGACGGCGAGACCAAGGCCAAGGACGTCATGGCGCGCTTCGACTGCGAGAACGGCTCAGTGTCGGGGTGTGTTGTTTGCAAGTGCCGCCCCACATTTCCACAAGCATGAATCAAAGGTACAATTGGCTGATTCTGCTCCCGTTTTTTTTTTTTCTTTCCCAGGAGAGGATCTCGGAGCTGTGGCAAACGTCACCGACAGTATTTATTTGAGGTTGGGGGCAATTTAGGTAAGCTGCCCCCTTGCCTTCTGGTGAGAATAGTTTGGCGAACTTCTCCAGGGTGTATCCTGCTAATGCTTATGTCATCGTAGAGAAACACGTGGTGCTTTTTGCGTTGTCCCTTCCTGTGAACTTAGACACAATTCACGTTTTAGGTGAGCGCTGCTTAGATCCTGACACCTACCTTCTGGACCTGTACCGGGTCAATCCCAACTGCGAGTGGATCTTTAAGCCCAGGAACTCCTGAGGAGCCGCTAACTGGATAAGGACTGGTGATGGAGTCGCAGTGAAGCACTGGGGGAGTCATGCAGCCCCACACTCATCCGAACACCCACCGACCCACCCGCCTGCTGTTTATAACGGATGTGTGCGTTAGGAGCCAGGAGGACAGAAAGTCCAAGGAAATAATGCTGGTTTGGCCATTAAAGACTTATCCACAGTGTGAAGGACGTCTTCCTGGAAGCAGCAGCAACAACAAGCTCTGGAGAACGAAGAAGCTGTTGTCAGTCACTCTTTTATGTATCTGTGCCTTGGTCATCAAGGCAAGGAGGAACTAACTTGAAAGCTAAGGATTAAAAGGCTAACGTTTCTTTTGCTGTTTTCTCTTGGCTGAGCTTTCCTTCTCCATGACCAAGAGGAGGTGCCACATCCTATGAAATCCTAGTGACCAACACCCAAGTGAGGCTCCCCCACACATCCCAGTGCTCCCAGTGCTCCCAGGCCATGTGCAATATCTGAATCGCTAATTACTCATGCCTTGGTATTACAGGAACTGCAAACACTACTAGAGTTTTTTGTGTCCATGTGACCTGAAGAGTCGATGTTGCGTGCAGCGTGTGTGCAGTTCATGAGCAACATGATCACACCAATATCAACATTTAGCCCTCAAGATGGTGATGGACCTCATTACCAAAAACTGCCTCTTTCTTCAACTTTGTGAATAGCAAAGACTATCGTTGCATGAGTTCTGGAAAATTCTGTACCTACAAATAAGGATACAATTTAGCACAAGGAATGAGTATTACGATGGCGACCATGACGGGGCCTAGGTGTGAGGCGCTTCACCTGGCACACAGTGTTAGACATCTAGCATGCTTCCTGCAGGATTAAGCTGGAGACTCATGACAGTCTGCCAGTGACATGGACTCATCAAAAACGGGCTCTGTTACCTGGTGTGTTTCGTTGCTTTATGAAAGAGAAACTTCCATTTTTAATGGTATTGTGTATATATATAAATATAAACATCATTTTTCACAATGCAAGTCCTGCTCTTGTCTGTCATATATGTTATGTCCAATTTGTATAGCTACGTTTGGTTATTTCTAAAACAAGAAATAATTATACTGTTCATTCAGCAAAATAACAGATACACACACATAACATTGCTGACAAATTGTACATTTCCAGAGTTTTAGAGGCTAGGGTTTCCTTTAATATCAGATTTTATCCAGGACTGATGAACTTTCTTCTCATGACCAAATATTCACAGTTACATATGCCCCAACGGAGGCTGTGCAGGAAATACCATACGCTACGTGGTGTCCTAAGCCATCTGCTGGCATGTGGATGTGTGCTGTGACCATAACAATCCCCACTGCCTGATTCTGTCCAAGCCAAGTCTCTAACATCAGTCCCTGGGAGGTCAGAGTATGCCAGCTTGGTCTTTAATTCGTTTTAAACCCGTAAAAAGCATGATTAAAGAGACACTGTTGAAGCATCAATGACATTCCTGCCATACAGCCCACCATCTTTCCCTGAAGTGGTGTTTAGGTATCGTACTTGGCTCGTCAGAGTTGGCAGAATGAAAAATGATTGGTTCCAAGAGATAACCAATCCGATTGTAGAGGAGGCCGGTTCAAGCAACTAGTGGGAGACAGGACCAACCAATCAGATGTCTTGGTCCCCCCCCCCCCAGATGCTTGGACCCCCCCCCTCTACAATCTGATTATCTCTTTGCCCTCAGAACATTTTTGTATAAGTAAAACTCTCATGAGCTCAAGCTTGCAGCAGCGAAGAAGGCTATTTGATTATTCTATGTTTCATGGGAAATACTTATAAAACAGAATGTTTTGAGTTCTATTTTTAAACCATGTATACAAAAACCTTCAAAACTGCTTAATGGTTTCACATGGACATTTAAAGTACCACCAATGTTCACATGGAGACAGAAATTAATTGAATAAGTAATTTCTTTTGACTTCAGCACAAATAAACAGACTTTCCTTAAATTAAAAAACGGAGCATTTTTAAAGGCTCATTTTGTCACAGTGAGGTCAGAGTGCCGGGCCGGGGCAGGAGTGTGGGAGGACACCACGGAGGTCAAAGGCCGAGCTGAAGTCAAGGGCGTCATTCAGGTGACCCTTGATGAGGCGGAGTTTGCGCATGCAGCCACGGAACGGCGTGTTGATGGTCAGGCAGTTCTGCTTCACATGATCTGTGGGGGGGGGGGGGGGAAAAGGGCAAGTTTAGTTGAAAAGACAGCCGAGGACAGCTTGGCAAGATCCTCTTACAGTGTCCTGCAAACTGTTAGTGTGAAGCACTAAAGAGAAACTGAACCCAGTGAGTTTAAATGAACTCCACATGTTGGAAGAATGAGATTTGGGACGGATTAAAGAGTCAAACTGTAAACAAGACAGATCAATGCACAAGGCTGCGTGTTTTGCATTACACGGTGCTATGCAAAAGCGAACCCAGACATGAAACACTTCTACTCAAACTGTAATACTAAACAAGTGTGTGGGGGCTCTGCACGACCGGGGGAAGCGTGTTACCGGGGAAGCCGCCCACGTAGATGGGGTCGTTGGTGTCCGCGGAGGTGGACTGCGGGTGGGGGTTATCCACCTGGGTCATGGTACCATCCACCGTCAGACTCAGGCCATACTTGTTCTTATTGGCCAGCACAGAGTGCCAGTGCCCATCGCAGAGGCCTCCGGGGTAGCGTGGGGTCCACGACACCGAGAGACGTCCGGCCCCATTGTTCACGTGGAAGAGCAGCTGCAGGCCAGGAACAGGGTCAAAGACAGCCATTATTACTACCAGGCCGTATACCACTGGATGACAGTAGAAACACAGTAAGAAATCCCACAAAAGACAGGGGACATGGCGGACAGGCCCCGTGTCTCAGAGGGACAAGTTGTCCCAGGTCTGGGCTCAGGTGGGAGGGGTTGTATGTCATGGGGGCCCAGTTTGTCCCAGGTTAAGGAATTCTGCAGAGGATATGCTGGTGGGAGACACCCTGGGCAGGATGCCAGTTCATCACAGGGCACACATGCATATAAGGGCAATTCAGACCGCAGAAGACTCCAGCATGGGGATAACATGGAATCTGAATACATCCAGGTGTGGGGATCAAACCCATGACCCTACATATGTGAGATGGTAGTACTACCCACTGAGGCACTGTGCTGCCTAAGATGATGATGATCCTCACTATAGACACGAAGATGAAAATGACAACCACATGGAGTTTAAAGTTACCATTATCGTACAGCACTCAACACATGATATTAACAGGACAGTGATATTTACTAGTATATCTTAAAAAGGACATAGCGGCCTTAGAAAAGGTGCAGCGTAGGGCAACAAGAACGATTCCTGGTCTTAGAGGAATGTCATACGAGGAAAGGTTATTTGAGCTAAATCTGTTCAGCCTCAAGCAAAGGAAACTGAGGGGGGACATGATCCAGGTC